TGATAATATAATAAGAAAACGGAATTTATTGGGAGTAGAATATATTCAGAAAAAAAGACACATTGAGCCATAGGGCAACCACTTTTACTATCCCAGCACGAAAAAGCCAATAACTCAATTATATTAGCGAAAAAAAAATCATTAGATGAAATATGGTCTGTAGAAGTCAGTCTGCGGACAGTTCGAAGATTTCAGATTCATCATCATTATCATATGAGTCCATCAAATTGAACTGTTGAACATAAGCACAGTAAAATAGTGTTTATTAAAACACAAAGGATACGGATTTAATTATTAAACAATTTGTATTCGTAACCTAAATAGAAATTTAATTATGTAATCCGTTTGATTGTTGTTAGTGGCTAGTCCAGTATAATGTATATTTGTTCGACGGACTTGGAATTGACCGTTGACATTTAAATAAAAATGTTCTTTATTTTAAAATCTGCAAGGCTAAAAAGCATTTTCTAATTTTGATTTGAATTAAGTTTTTATTTATTATAATAGCCTTCTGGTATCGAGGCATTAAATCTTAGCTTTTACGCTGTTATTAATATAATATATGTTAATGAATAAATAGTAATTTTTGTCATTCAAAATTAATATATATATATATATTTATAGTAACGCCTATTGTACGTAGGTTACTCAATAATTATTTATTTTACATCTTTTTCAAAATATTCTCCATCATGCTCTTTACAAAATTCCATTCGCCTAAACTAACTCTGAAAACACTTTTGCCAGTCTTGATCTGACAGGTCGGAAATCGCTTCTTCGTAAGCAGCCGCGGCTTCTTCGGCGCTTGAAAAAAACTTGCCTTTTATTTTTTCTTTGACTCTTGGGAACAAAAAGAAATCACAAGGAGCTCAGTCAAGGCTGTAGGGTGTGTGACTTCGAGTTTCAACACCAGATTCCTCGATAAATGCTTTTGTTCTAAGGGAAGTATGTGAAGAGGCGTTATCGTAATGCAGCATGATTCCTCGAAGCCCGGTCTTTGGTGTACTATCCCGCACAGCTTGAAAACCTTTGGGTAATGCAAAGCCACCATTTTTGCCGACGTTGTGAGGTCTTTGCAGTTTTGTCGGTAACTGTCCTTCTGAGTAGACTCATACCGATGATTGCTTTTTATTTTTCGGATCATATTGATAGATCCATGTCTCGTCAGAAGTAACGATTTCTGAAACACGCCTAGGTGCTCCGTTTTCAAAACGTAGATGCATTTCATGGCACCAATCCACACGAGTCTGTTTTTCGCTTTCGGAGATCAAACGAGGGATCCATCAACGATAAAGCTTCCTCACTACAAGATGTTGACGTAGGATAGTATGAATGCTCCCCGATCTAATGCCTACAATCTTTTAGATGTCCGTATATGTGTATATGTCCGTATATGATTCGTGGGTAAACCAAATTTAAAATCATATTATATCATAGCGCGCAAATGTTCACGATTAAGATCCATCGTTTTAATTGAAAAGCGCGGGAAACGTTGCAGGAAAATTAATAGAATTTTGTTTTGTTTTTTATTTAATACTAGCTAGGCCCCGCGGTTTCACCCGCGTATATCACGCATCTGCGCCTTGAGACATGCGAACTTCGAGAGAGACATCACGACGGACGGTTGCTGAATTAACAAAGATTTAAAAAGTGAAATATGTTACTAAAATTACATGGTTAACGTAATTGGTGGTTATGCATGATACAGGTACTGATACGAATAATGTCTAGGCCACATTATTCATATCAGTACGTACTCGTATTAGTAGTATTTGTACCGGCGTTACTATTTCACATTTTAACATGAAAAAGTAGTTATTGTGACATAACTGTAATAGTTAAACATATGATATCGCAGACTTTTTTGTAGAGATTAATATCCTCTATAAAAGTGAAGTACATTACTTTGCTCTATTATCAATAGTTTCCGAAGCGTACGCGATATAAAGATTCTTTTTGGTATTTTTTTCACACCTTGGGTTATATTAACGAAGTTTTCATACGGATCCCTAACTTTCTTGAAAATATTACATATTTTATGTTCATCAGGGATAATGTAGGATTCTAATGGTGAAAGAATTTTTCAAATCGGTCCAGTAGTTTACCGGAGCCTATTCAATTCAAACAAACAAACAAACAAACAAATCTTTCCTCTTTATAATAGTAGTGTAGATGTAGATTTAGATGTAGAAGAGTGTAGATGCATGATACAGGTACTGATACGAATAATGTCTAGGCCACATTATTCGTATCAGTACGTACTCGTATTAGTAGTATTTGTACCGGCGTTACTATTTCACATTTTAACATGAAAAAGTAGTTATTGTGACATAACTGTAATAGTTAAACATATGGTATCGTAGACTTTTTGTAGAGATTAATATCCTCTATAAAAGTGAAGTACATTACTTTGCTCTATTATCAATAGTTTCCGAAGCGTACGCAATATAAGGATTCTTTTTGGTATTTTTTCACACCTTGGGTTACGTTAACGAAGTTTTCATACCGATCCCTAATTTTTTGAAAAAATTACATAGCCTATGTTCATCAGGGATAATGTAGGATTCTAATGGTGAAAGAATTTTTCAAATCGGTCCAGTAGTTTCGGAGCCTATTCAATTCAAACAAACAAACAAATCTTTCGTCTTTATAATGGTAGTGTAGACTAAGAAATTATATTATCGAATTCTATTTTTAAATAAAATTGCTTTTTAGAAACATATAATATATAACATACAAAGCATCTCAAAATTTATTGAGTGATCTACTTATGTTGGCGAACTTCATAATATTATGTTCTGGAGATGTTTTTTATTTTCTAAGAATCTGACGTGTGTCTTAAAATATTTTCTACTAAATACGAGTATTTTTTTAATAAAATCGAAGTGACAAATGAATTTACAGTCCACCTGATGGTAATTGGCTACTACAATACAGCTACAGTTGATCGATTTAAAACCAATTTCAAATTAAGAGAACTACATTGTCATTTTTGAGGGCTAAAACGAAATGTCATGTTCAATGAGATGGGTAACATTTTCTTCCGGTATTCGTTCACAACAGACTTTTAGCACGTTTATGAGTTCCTGTCGACTATTCACCTGATTGTAGTTAACTTTTGGGCTTCATGTCAGTTGATCCCATAAATTTTCAATGGGTTAGAGGTTAGGACTCATGGCAGGCCATGGCAAAACTGTGCTAGCATCAGAAAGAGCTCTTTGTGTGATACAGTCTGTATGTGTTTGAGCATTATCTTGCATTAACATAAAACCACTACATAGTCTTTGTGCAAATGGAATGAAATGAAGTCGGATAACTTGCTCAACGTAACGGATAGCTGTTACCCTCATCCAGAACTACCAGCTCTGTTTTGCCTATTTAGGTTATTCCTGCCCACACCATAACACTTGGACCACCGAAACTGTCTGCTCCTTGCATGCAGGGTTATGTAAATCGTTCGCTTTGTTTTCTCCATACGCGTATTCATTTGTCATCAGTGGTTAATTTCCTCAAACCCGCAGTCTCGTACAGCAGCCTTGGAGAGCCGCGCCGTGTGAACAGGTCATGTCATTAAAAAGCAGCACTACATTGTCAGATTTCTTCTTCTCTTTTCTTTTAATGCTTCTCTCAAACGGCGTAAAGTGCCTGAGTATTTGTCTGCGTTGATAGGTTCACCTTTTTTGTCTACTCGATCAATAGTATTTCTTTGGAATCCCAAAACACTGTCGCTAAGATTTTACCGCCCGATGGAGTGACTTTAAGCTTCTTGGGGGTCTAATTTTTTTTTTGCCATTGCATAGACCTGACCATCCTGCTTACTCTCAGATTCATAGTGATGAACTCACGTTTTATTTCCATTAACTATTCTATCGAAAACACTTGTTGGGTCGTCACCACACAGCTCTAAAACTCCCTACAACAATCAAGTCGCGCCTGCTTTTGAAGCGCAGTGAACATTCGCGGCACCCATATTGCACTGACTTTTGTGAGGTTGAGATAGTCATGCAATATAGTGTGTATGGTTCCAACGGACAGGTGTAGCAATTTTTGCTAACATCTCAATTCTTAATCGTGCATCTTCTGATATAAGTTTTATAATAATTTTCACATTTCTTTCTGTAGCTGCCGTGATTGACTCACCCGGGCGGGGGTCACCTTCGATGCTTTCCCTACTTCTTTTGAATTCATTAGATCACATTGGTGACATTGAAGGAGCAGAGTCTTGGTAAACGGCCACCATTTCTTCATGGTTGTTTTTTGTTTAGTGAGGAATTTAATCATCACATGTTGTTCGATTTTTTTTTTCAAAATTATCGAATCCGTCATTCCAGTTATCTATGACTGAAGGTTACATAAGAAGTAATAAAGTTATCAAGATGAAATTTTAATTTAAAAAATCATTAGTTGACAAACTGAGGGTATACCTCAGTTTGTCAACTAATGATTTTTTAAATTACCCACATGATAATCAAATCACACTAATACCGTGAATACATTAAACGGCTCTCATAGAGTTATACTGAGAACACAAGTGATACAATTTCTACATTTCGTGTTTTTTCAAGCACTTCACTTTTTCTGCCTACCCCCTTGAATGAAACGCTAAAGTATTCGCTCGAAAAATTGATGATGACTTATAAACAAGTCAACTACACAATCAAGTGCTTTATTTTGGTAACCTCTTGAGTTAATATAAGACAAAAAATAAAAATAAATGACGGTGGGTTTTGAGTAGTTTAATTAAAGGCACCTACCCAGACTGGCTCTTAGACAGTAAAAGCGTCCCTAATACCCAAAGTATGAAGTAAACCAGCATATTCATTTAAGTATTTCTGAGGTGTTCGCGGTGTTCAATTCGGTTTTCTCGGGTGTTATGAAAATTCAAAACGAGCACTAACCACCTATGAGCTATGGAAATCTTCTACGATATTCTTCTAAGAATTTGTAAACGATGTAATTTTTCAAGGACTTCTTACAAAACGTTATAATATTGTTTGCAGATATTTATACTGATCCCAGGATGTCTACACGCGATTGCCATGGGATTCATGGTGGCTTTCCCGGCTGTGCTAAATCCGGCGATACTATCTCCGAATAGCACAGACATCACAGCTACTTCTGCCCAAGCTTCCTGGATAGGTTTGTTACACATACCCATGAATTATTTTTATGAGTATACCGATTCAAACAATGTTCATGTCATATTTCAAGTAACAGTGCATATTATAGTAGACAACCTGTGTATTTGATGGATCAGTAATAATTATGATGTTGATGAGACTGAAAAAACTAGCTGGCAGTTAAGCTGGTAGTATGTTATTTATTTTTATTTTTATAAATTTTGTTGCTTGTTTTATTATTTTGCCACTAAAGGGCACAAGATCTGCTAACAAACAAATTATACTTTGTTACTGAGTACCCAAAATTAGTATGTATTAATTTCTACTACCTTTAAACAACGTTTAATATTGTTACAAAGAAAATTACTGTGAACTACCCAATTCTTCTCATGTTATTTAAAGTAACTGCTTACTTTGGTTCCAGGTATATATATACCTGGACTATACATATGCACTATATATATACACATTCACACATACAATGTATATATATATATATATATACATTGTATATATGTTGTATGTGTGAATGTGTGTGTGTGTGTGTCTATATGACTGGTTATTTAACATTAACATATATTTTTTTGTGTTTTCAGCATCAACTAATGGCATTTCCGGAATCTTCGGTTTCTTAATTTTCTCACCTATATTTCAAATCTTCGGGCGGAAGATAACCAGCATCGGATTGAATCTCACATTGATCGTCGGCTGGCTCACACTATCCCTTGCTAACAGTATCACGGTTTTAGTTTTTGCTAGAGCTATCCAAGGCTTAAGTATAGGCGGAGTATTTATCGGTTCGATTACTATATGTGAATATGCAAGTCCACGTAGAAGAGGCTATTTTACGTCAATTAAGATAATATCATTAGGTGTAGGTTCATTGGTCTGTCATTCTTTTGCAATTTTTTGCACATGGAGGCAAATAGCTGCTTTTTGTATAATTCCAACAGCATTAGCTGTAGTATTTATACTATTCTGGCCGGAGAGCCCGTCTTTTTTAGCTATGAAAGGACGTTTCGAGGAATGCGAGAAAGCCTTCACTTGGTTAAATGGAAACTCTGTTGAGAGTAAAAGAGAGCTTAAAGACTTAATAAAAGCACAGATGAGGCGACATGAACTGATTAGAAAAACTGAAAAGATTTCTTATGTAGAGAGTTTTATAAAAACATTAAAAAATAAAGAGATGCAAAAAGCTTGTATTATAACTGCACTTCTCACTTTATGTATTGATGCTTGTGGCAGATACTTCCTAATAGCTTATATAACGCAAATATTAGTAGAAATTACTGGTAGTAAATCAATAGCAATATACTGTTCCATAGTATCTGATCTCTTGTTAATTTTCGGTTTAAGTATATCATGTATTGTAATACGGAAATTTAAAAGACGTAAGATATTATTTAGTTTAGGTTTACTGACAACTGCAATAATGTTCATTATAAGTTTAGTGGCCGTTTTAAAATCCAAATATGATATGTTATCTCAAGTGCCATGGCTATTCCCTTTCGTAATATTATTACATACTTTCGTGGCTCATATTGGTTTAGTACCAGTATCGTTTGCAATAACTGCAGAAGTTTATCCTTTGGAATATAAAGGGATATGTTCGTGTATATCAGGAATAGTATTTACAATTTTTTATGCCCTGACATTAAAGTTAACACCTATGATGATAGAATTTATGGGCGTATCGGGTACTTATGCTGTGTACGCTTTGCTAGTAATGTTTTGTTTAGCTATTTTATACTTTATTCTGCCAGAAACTAAGGATAGGACATTGCAAGATATAGAAGATGAAATAAGGGGCACCGACCGATCTGATGTAGATAAAAATTTGTTACCTGAAAAAGTCATCTCAGCGGATATTTGAATTATCACAATGATTTCTTTAAAGTAAATTTTCGATTTTATATCATATTTTGTTATTTGTAAATTAAATATTGAATATGTTAAGTTTATTATTAAAGTTAGTGGTATGTATAGATTTTAAAATATTTTTTTTATATAATAAGGGTAACAAACGAGCACACAGTTCACCTGATGGCAAATGGTTGGTGTGGCCCGTAATATCTAAATCTATCTTCATTTGCGAAATAAAATGCAGATACATTGTCAACCGTGGGGAGTAAGATGGAATGCCTCTTTTCCAGTAAAAAGGGTTTCTGGTTCTCTACTCTCACCATACAAAAAACAAAGCAGCATTAAACTGCTATTTTACATTGATATTCTGTGGGAACGTGGCCCTTCTCCTGTCGAGCCGAACCATACGTGCTAGAACTATATTATTAATATAGCTGCAGTATGGCTCCACAACTTATAAAATAAGATATAAAAAAAGAATGTAAATATGATATTTAGTTTTGTTTTTTAATATTTCTTATTTTTTTATCAACCATATAACACCATTTAAAATGAAGTGCTTTCTGCAATTGAAGCTTAAAGTTTCTTTAGTTATATCATAAGAAAAAAAATCTGTATTAATAGTGATTTAAGTTAAATGTAAAAGAATTGAATAAAACTACTTTTTAAGGATTTTATCGCGTTTAATTAACTTATTTTATATTCCCGACGTTTCGGTTGCTTTCCAGCAACGGAGGTACAAAAGGAACAGTAGGCATGTAAATAGGGACTGAACATGAAAACTGACCATAGTTTCATTGTCAGTAAGACATATGTCTTTTATCTCACTGACAAAATGGTATGAATCCATAGTGTGTGCTATTGTGTGTCCTCTGAGTGGTGATAGTACTTTTGCTAGGAGTTGAGCCAATCTGTAAGTTGGCGAATCGATCTGACTCACTATTGAACGTAATGGAGCGTTAGGTTTGTGTATTTTTGGTAACCCATACAACTTCGGTGGTTTGGCACACGCAGGTATTATCCAATTCTAGATTCAATCTCTCGGAATATTTCTTCGAGAATCGTGAGATCTGGTCTGTTACGTAAGTTTTTTAATGCAATAAATTCATCTTTGGGAAGATTTAATTTCGGCGCTGAGCTTCGATGTAACAAGGACGAAATGTATTAACGTATGGCCTCTAAATCTTCATTAACAATATTATTTTTATACAGACAGTCCTTGCGTTTTTTATAGTTTTTTATACAGACATTTACATTGAGCACCATTGAAAATTTAAGATTAGTTTTTATATCGTATCAATACGGGTAAACTTAAATTTATGATTGCGTAGCAGTAAAAATAAATAGCCACAGCTTTATTTTATTAATTTCTTCGTAAAGTTATTATTTTTTAAATTATATTATGATTTTTTGCAAGATACTGTATATGAGTTAAATGTAACAGTCTACAAAAAACCCACACTTGGGCACAAGTCTCCTTTCATTTCTGAAACTTGTAAAGCAAGGAAGTGTACGTCGCGCTACTTCGATGCGTATTGAGAGAGCCTACCTGTTGAAAACTCTTTACGACGTTTTTCTTCAAGGAGCACGCTGTAAGTGAGCACTTAATATGGCAATTTTAAATTTCATTGATACAGCTGCGGATCGAACTCAATTTCTCGCGTACTGTTAAGGGTACGTTTCGGGCCAAATTATGCTGTTTTTCGGTACATTTTGTGACAAAACTAAACCAAAACAAATATAACTAATTAGTGACCGACCGAAGGTTCGGTTTCGGTTTCGGCAAGTTTCGGCAAAAAAATCTAGTTTCGGTAATAGTTTCGGTTTCGGCAAAAAATCTGCCGAACCTTCGGCGCCGCCGAAACTCAGTGTTCGTGGATTATCCGTGCGTCGTTCGGATGAGTTCGTGACTCGTGTATTTTGTATAATTATACAGAAACAGACATTTTTTATTCAATATATAAATTATACTTATTGAAAGTCACTCATTTGTTTAATTACCACTGGTTCGAAGAAAAATCTCTGTTCTTGGAAGAACAGCTTACGATATGCGATTATCATCATAGTCATATCTTTGTTGACATTTATTTCATAAAATATCTCAATTTATGGTGTGTAGTCCCGAATCTCTTATTAATTACATAGATTTATTACAAGAATCTATTTCAGTTATGCACATGAATATACGGAATCTATCATGTAACTTTGACGCATTTAATGTTTTATTACAGAAAATCTCTTTCCAATGCGATGTCCTCGTTTTAACTGAATGCTGGTTGAGTAAACTGTTAAACGTTCCAGAAATACCTGGATATATATCTTATGCTTCGGGCTATTTCAATCAGAACGATGGAGTTGTAATTTTTGTCAAGTCCGAAATTAAGCATAGAACTTCATTAGAGACTGAAGTAAAGGACTGTAATTATCTTATTTTAAGATTTAGGAATGGAATTGCGATTATAGCTGTGTCCAGATCACCATCATACAACAATATTGATAACTTTTACCATAGTCTTGAAAATTGTTTGACTTCATTGGCGTCTGTTAAATCAGTTATCTTAATTGGAGATATTAATTGTTATGGCCTACAGACCATTTCTTTCTTCATTGTCACTATTTCAGTCTTTTAGCTTCATTGTACATTTAACTAACTTAAACTCGCCTAATTCCTCATTCATCGTAGAATCGAACACGTGATACCTGACATAGTACGGACAGTAGTTCAAAATTCGACATTCAATGTCCCGGATTCACTCATCACAAAATTATAAATAGGGAACTAACGCGATCTCTTATTGAGTCATACGGTTCAGCGTTAAACACAACTCAGTTTCTTCATTCGACACCAAAACACCACGCCGCGAAAATAATTCAAAATACGCCTCGTTGACATGTAAACTAACAAACCAGCCAACAAACAAAAAAGGGCACTTAATCCGACGGCACAATTATAATGATTTCCAGACAATCAACCGGGAGACGCTCTCGAACAAATATATAAACAATAATATAAATATAGCTTCCAATAGCTCTGACCCAAATTGTAATAACTACATTGACCTAACGGCATCTCATGGTCTGCTTCCAACACATGTTACTCCAACGCGTATAAGTAGCTGTCTTGATCACGTTATGCTAAGATCAAATCGATGTTCTAAAGCGTTTATTCTCAATTCGCTCATAACTGATCATGCGCCGATTATGTTTGTGTTAGAGGCAAAAATTAAAAGAAATCTAGCTAAAGCCACCATAAGGAAAATTGATTACCCAAATTTAGTCCAGGATTTATCTGTAACAGACTTTAACTCACTATATAGCGCTGCAAATGAAGATTTAGCAGCAACCTCTTTGATTGATATAATATATAACGAAATTTCTTGACACTCCACATTAATTTACGTCCCGCATCGTAAACAAGCTATTAAGGCCTGGATAACACCTGGTCTTGTACGATGCATCAGGAATCGTGACAAGTTACACAAAAAGGCTAAACTGGATCCTAACAATGCCATATTACAACTAACCTACTCTAGGTACTGTAATTTTTGCAATAATCTTTTAAATAAACTAAAAACCGAATTTGAACAAACTGAGTTCAAAAAGTATAAAGATAATCCCAAAGAAATGTGAAATACTATTAATAAAGTCGCTAGTCTAAAAAAAGTATCTCCATCTCCCACTGATTTGTTAAACCTCGCCAAAGACCCTCATGAATCAGTAAACCTAATAAAAGAATACTTTGCAAGTATAGGTAAGTCCCTTGCTAATGAAATACAAATTAGAAGAAGTACTTGTTTGACTAGTTCCGTAAACTTCACTCATATTGAGTCACAGAGAGATTCAATGGCTTTACTTGATGTGGATTATAATAAAGTTGAGAACACTATTATGAACCTAAAAAATAATTGCGCTACAGGTATCGACAGCATTCCTACTCAAGTTTTTTAAAAACGCAAGAACTAGCCTTATTCCACCTTTGACCCACATGATCAATCAATGTTTCGCTTCAGGAGTTTTTCCAAACATTCTCAAGAGAGCTCTTGTACATCCTATTTATAAAAACGGAAATAGAGATATGATAGACAACTACAGATCCATCTCGGTGCTAATAATAGTATCTAAAACTTTGGAAAAGCTTTAAAATTCTAGACTTATTAAATTTTTAGAAAAGACAAATGCGATTGCACAAAATCAGTATGGATTTTTAAAAGGCAAATATACTGATGATGCTACTTTGAATCTTACTGAGACTATTGTTACGCACCTTGATATAGGTCACAAAGTTCTTAGAGTTTTCCTCGATTTGTCGAAGGCATTCGACACTGTATCTATACCATTACTATTGAAAAAGCTGGAGTTAATAGGTATACGCGGAGTCGTCTTGGATATCTTTTGTGACTATCTCTCAAATCGCTACCAAAATAACTACCAAAGTCTGGATGTCAATCTCTCTTATGGAGTACCACAGGGCAGTGTACTGGGTCCAACGCTCTTCCTAGTATACATCAACAACTTTTGTAAGCTTTCGTTACCAAACTGAAAAATTATCACTTATGCAGATTATACAGCGTTGATTGTGCATGGTGAGGATTGGGTTCGGGCTCAACAATACACTGAAAATGCCCTCACTGTGGTAATGAGATGTTTGGACTACAATTTGCTTACGTTAAACTTAAAAGACCAAGTACATAACATTCACCCCACGGGCCAATACTCAACCATCCATTGACTTTTGTATAAGGACACATACTTTTGATAGAATAAATAGTTGCTGCGACTGTTCTCAGTTATCACCATCACATAGCTTAAAATATTTTGGTCTGATTCTAGATAATCATCTTAATTGGTCATTACATGTTAAATCATTAACAACCCGAATTAGAAAGTTAATTCCTATCTTTTACCTACTTAGAAAATCTGCTGATTGCGACACGCTAATGTGTGTTTTCTATGCGCTTGTCCAATCTTTGCTCAAATACTGCATTGTCTCATGGGGCGGAACTAGCATTA